CTACCGCCTTGAGCCTATCGGTCCTATCTCCTGGCAGTCAAGCAAGCAGGAGTTAATCGCACTATCTTCAGCAGAAGCAGAATATATCGCACTCTGCTCAGCCACCAAGGAGGGACTTTACCTTCGCGAACTACTGGAAGAAGCGAAACTAGCCGAGTTACCCAGCTTCACCGTGTTCTGCGACAACCAATCGGCAATTCGCATCGCCAACAAAAACGGCTTCGCAAACAGGACGAAACACATCGCCCTGCGCTATTTCTTCGTGAAGGACGAGATAGAAAAAGGGAAACTCGATCTGTCATACTGCCCAACATCCGAGATGGCAGCCGATTACTTGACCAAGAAACTCGGAAAGCAGAAGTTCGAATACTGCATGATGCTGACTGGACAAGGCCACGTCACCAGCAGCGACACTCCAGAAGCGAAGGGGAGTGTTGGAAACAATAAGTCCTAAGTGCGCTTCTGTCGTATCAAAACCCAAGGCACCAAGCGAAGCAGTCCCAATCGAAGCATCGAGTCAACCTCGGAGGTTAGGGTAACCGCCTGGAGGTTACGAGAAAGTCAAAGGTCGCTGACCTTTGACTCGACAATCACAGCGCGACAGTTAAGGACACACAACTGACTCGTTACAGAGCAGTTGCCCGAGTCGCACTGTATCGAACCGCAACAGCAATACAGTTATCTACCTATCTATTCGTATTCCCTGTACTCTTATATAAATCCTTGTATTTGCTTGTTTAATTCAATCTACTTTGCTCTCACACACCAGTGCAAGGTCGGTTCACAATCCTCATCAAACGCTTCCGCTATTACAAGTTTTCTACCCAAGAGTTCTCCTCTGCAAAGATCCTAAGGGCTATTTTCTCAGCCCAACAGCAACAAAATCAACACCCTTGTCAATGCTTGCCTTGAGCTCTGGCTTCAACTTATCCAACCACACCCTGCACAGCACAGCGAAAGAAAGAGAAAAACGGCAGAATGACAACAATGGCGGCTCATGAGACCTGGGGTGGAAGCATCTCGTTTGAAGGCGTTTATTCTCTGATCGTCAAAGCACATGGACCCGCAAGCATGTGAGAGTCACCATTACTAGGATACAAGGGAGGTTCAAAACCACCCATTCACGTTCAGACAGGGGGGAACTCACCGCTCATACTGAGTCATGGGCCCTAGCCCTAGCACCTCCTCCACTCCTTGCCGCCCCAGCACCACTCGCGAGGCAAAGAAGGGCAGCTCCGTCACCTGCTCATGCACGGCAGAGGGTGGTGGTGGGGGTGGGAGGGGCGATGCTTGTCTTGACTAAAAAAGCACCTTGTTATGACGGCACACGAGGCAAATTATGGCAGCTCTGTCGGCTGCTCATGTATAGCAGGGGGTAGTGGTCGTGGTGCTGGAGTGGGGGGGTGGCAGAGGTGGGAGTCAATTCACATGTTACAGGCTCGCCTTGGTGCAGAGACACGGGCACTCGTACAGGTTACAGGTGACAGGCACACAGGCACAGGCACTGGCACAAGCACAGGCATGGGCACGGGCATGGGAAAGGGCGTGGGTGTGAATACAGGCATGGGCATGGGCATGGGAAAGGGCATGGGTGTGAATACAGGCATGGGTATGTGCATGTGCATGTGCATGTGCATGGGCATTGGCATGGGCACAGGCAGAGGCACGTGGCAGGGGTTGCTGACCGTGGATTGCACGAAGGCGCACTCCACAATACCCGCCTCCCCCCGCATGGCCCGTAGACACGCCTGCGCAAACTTGGCCGCTGCATACGCCTGTGCACGGGGAGGGATAGGTGGGATGGGAGGGACCGGACACCAAGGAGGAATGGGGTGGGTGAGTGGGCGTTGAGTTGAGCAGTACGAGTTAAACAGAATATGGGTTGGTTGTGTTGAGAGGGTCATATCAGCTCACGTGGTGGCGGTGGCATGCAATGACTGAGTTGGGGTCTATCTGCTGCTTGCAGCAGAGTTGGCTTTAAGTTAGCACAACATGATGCAGGTTATCATGGGCGTGGCTTGTTGGTATTTTGTTTTTATCCTCAGAATTCAACTACTATTTCTTGGTAGACGACAAAACACGATGGGAAGGGTCTCACCATGGACAGGGTGGCAGAACCAGCGCCGGCTTTGGCCTGCAGCAATGCACGGAGGGAGGGGAACAGGGGGCAGGGAGACAGGATCAGCATACGCAGGGCACTGCGATGAATGCGCATTGCACAATCATGCAAAATTGTGCTGTGCAAAAAAAACAGATTTGTTTTTGCATGTGCTGGTAACAAACATGGTGATAAATCGTGGTTAGGTTGGCAAATTCTGTTTGTGCAAACCGCTTTGCAAGTGATGGCATCCACATGGGAAGCACAGTGTAGACACGGTTCACCTGGCTACAAAACTGCTTGTGCCCCCACACTCACCTCGACGACCTCCGTGCCTCCGTTTTGGATTCTGTTGGTCAGTTGGTCTAGCTCCTCCTGACTGAAGCTCACCGCAGGTGTCACCTGCACACACCGCACACACAGCACACACCGCGTACACCCCACACACAGAACACACCGCACACACAGACAGCACACAGCACACGCCACACACACAGTAGGCGACACACAGTCAGCATTGACCTCTCCATTGAGCAGCTACAGCTATGGGAGCCATTGTGAAAATGGGAGCAGGGGGCGCCTGAGGAAGCAGCTACGGCTACGGGAGTGAGTGTAAATATGCGAGCAGTCATACCTGCGAGAGCAGCGGCAGGATGGTGATGCCTGCATGGCCGCCCACCACTGGCACGTTCACTTCCTCGGGATTCAGCCCCAGCACCTCCGCCTGCCGTGCCACAGGCGCAGAAAATTTGCACAGGATACACGGGAGTTTTCACAAGGGAGGTTCTTAAGGCGCCTCATAAATGCATGTGATTCGCTGCTACTCCATACAACCATCCCGCAAGCTCCATCACATTCAGGGAACGTACCACGAAGGTGTTGGCGCGGACCACGTCGAGCGTCGTGACGCCCATCAGCTTGCGCGGATCGTACGTCCCCGCGCGCCGGAACACCTCCGCGGCGATCGCGACCGTCGAGTTCACCGGGTTGCTGATAATGTTCACGACGGCGCGCGGGCAGTGCTTCGCGATTCCCTCGCAGAGCGTCTTGACGATGCCGGCGTTGATCTTGAACAGGTCGTCGCGCGTCATGCCCGGCTTGCGCGGCACGCCCGCGGGGATGATCACCAGGTCCATTCCGTCTAGCGCCGCGCCCAGCTGGTCATTGCCCAGGAACCCGCGCACGACGGCGGAGGTGCTGGTGTGGCTGAGGTCGGCCGTGACGCCGGGCGTGTTGAACACGTCGTACAGGTGCAGCACCGATACAAGCGGATTCATTTTAAGCAGCAGCGAGAGTGGTTGCCCAATGCCACCCGCCGCGCCCAGCACGGCGACCTTGAAGCCGCCGCTGCTGCCCTTGGCGCGCGTGACGTTCATGCTGAGCCCACCATCCTGCGCGCAAGGCCAACAAAGGAATTTTCTATAATGTCACACATCGCTCTTCATACCGTAATACTCGGTATTGGATAACTGATTAAGTGTAATTAACGAAAAAAAAAATCAATAAAAGACCATTACGAAAACGGATGATGCGAGCAGCAGGGCGACGCGGGTGAATTCCGATGCACGCCAAAAGAGCACGCGATGCGTGAGACGAGACAGTGGCTACTCACGCTGGTTGACACGGGCGGGCAGATGTGCGAGGCGATGCGGTTGATTCGGTTCAACGGACTCATGGTGAGATGCGCGGCTGACGAGACGACTGACGAAGACGACTGGCGTAGGGCTAGTAACGGCCTTTGTTCTAGCCTCGCGTGGTACTGGGACTATGCGGGAGGAGTAACACAGCGACAGGGAAGATATGAAAGCCTACTGCTGTTGCCAAGTGTGCTAGGGCTGCTATGCGTTCGCAAAATGAATGCCAGAAGTAGGAATATCCGGGGCTTCTGTGCTTTTGAATGGCTTCAGGCTGCCAGCCTCCGCCTCAGTCAGTCCCCTCCCAAGACTGAATTTCGAAATCGAAATTCAAGAGTCAGGCTGGTTGGTTCATGCAAATGCATCATGCGTGCACTGGGTTTCGGTTTCGGTTTCGATTCGCTTCCACATGGATCATTGCCCCGGGAAAAGGAGACCACTTGAGCTGGCAAGTCGCCTGACTGATGTGTGTGTGTGGTCCCAGCAGTCTTTCCAGAAGACCCATGCTGACGTGATCCTGGACTCGTTCAGGCAGGTGCTGAAAAGTCATGTCACGTCAGCAAAGGCTGATGTGGACTTGGGAACCTCTATAGTCCCTAGTGGCAGCCGCGCTATCGTGTGGACTCGTTTCAGTGTGGGCCATTTCACATTACACTAGCATACAGAACGTTTACACGAAAGGTTTATCCTTTCAAATTTGGCCTTCCTGACACTTGGGGATTGCCGAGCCATCCGTACCTGTGAATGGACCAATGGCGATAACTCGAGCCTTGTTCCACACGCTGGCTGAGGCTGTGCCTGTCCTGTGTGCTGGCCGCACCTGCGCGTCGTCTCAGTCGATCATACATATGTGCAACAGAGCTGTTTCTTTGGCTATTGTCGGAAACCAGGGTGCCTGTCAACGCTAACTAACAGCCGTCCTACCTCATAGTTCCCGCAGATCAGAGACCTGCCGTTGCCTGCGCCGTCTCGCTGCTCTTTCGTCTCGGCAGCACCGGCGATCCTTAGCTGATTCATCCTGAATCCTAACGGAACCTCCGCCTGAATCCGCCTGGCATCACGCCTGGTAAATTCGCATCTCACAAATATACCCGTATCCGCAAATTCGCATATCCGCAGAGCATTCTAGGACTTCGCCGTTAGAAAGCGTGGCCTTTCAGATATTCTCCACGTTGACTCGATTCTGCTTCGAACAGTTTCAAACCGCTTTCGAACAGTTTCAACCAGTTTGAACCAGTCCAGAAGCGTGCGGAGCAGCGCGCGCGAGGATGAGTCGTCAAATGTGCGGCGAGTGCAAGCGCAACACGGAGCTGGTACACGACCACGCTGCGGGCGACCTCATCTGCGCCGAGTGCGGCCTCGTCGTCGAGGCGCACAGCGTCGACGAAACTTCCGAATGGCGTACTTTTTCTAACGAAGCCGCTAATACCGACCCCGTGCGTGTCGGCGGGCCGACAAATCAGCTGCTGACAGATGGCGGGCTGACGACGATGATCAGCGCCGGGAAGAACGGGCAGGGCGGGGGGGATCTCCCCGGGCGGAAAGGGTGGGCCAGCCAGGGCTCGAACCCGGACCGGGACTTGATAAACGCGTTTCAGTCGATAGGCGACATGGCGGACAGGTGAGACGCCGCTAGGGAGAGAGAGGGACTTGAGGGAAAGTGGGAAGGATGGCCGAGGTCACGGGTTCGAATCTTGAGGGTGACCTGATTACCGCAGTTTAGGCGATCAGCGACATGGCGGGCAGGTGAGGGGCGTTGGGTGGTGGACATGCGAGGGTGGCGAGGGAGGCTGGAAAAGGTGACAAGAAGGTGGGCAGATGGGTTTGGCGTGTGGGTTAAGAGAAGTGGCTCCGTAGGATAGCAGAGAACGGTGAGCTATCAGAGACCCACGACCAGCCATCAGTGAGCGACATCAACGATCGGATGTGCTGGTGGCCTGTAACATGTCAGATTCAATTGCGGTATGGTGATTGGCAGACATCGCATGTCTGAACCCACAGCCATCAACCAGCATGGCACCAGCACGAGCCATTCAATTGTTTCTCCCTCCCCGCCCATTCCCTGCGCCCCCGTTTACCCCCCCTACCTTGTTCGCTCCCTCCATCATGTAACCTGGTAACCACCTCGGCCCACCCAACTTCGCCTGTGCTCACCTCGCCGCGTCGCCACCGCCGTGCCATGCACACGTGTGTGGAATGCGACGTGGGCCGGCTTCTGACATTGCAGACTGGGCCTCGTAGCCACTATCCGGGTAGGCCTCTTCCTCCTCGGCCCTCTTTGTCTCTCCTCGTCCTCCTTGTCCCTCCTCGCCCCTCCTTATCCCTCCTCGTCCCTCTTTTTCCCCCCTTGTATCTCCTCGCACCTCCTCCCCCTTGCTCTCTTCTTCATCATCTGAACGTCCTAGGACCATGTGCCTCCCCCTCTCACCCCCATATTTTGTAATCTGTGTTCGCCCCTCCCAGGACCGTGCGAACGAGATACTCAAGATGGTGCACGACTTGGACTTGAAGAGTATCCCCCTCACATCCCTACTACACCTTTCCCCCTCTTTCCCCATACCCTCGCATTGTGCTTGCCCCTACCAGGACCGTGCGAACGAGATATTCAAGAAGGTGCACGACTTGAAGAGCATTCGCGGGCGCAGCAACGAGGCCACGTATGCTGCTTGCCTTTACATCGCATGCCGGCAGGAGGACAAGCCACGTACCTTCAAAGGTGAGTGGGGGGGGGTTGGGTGCGAGGAGTGCAGATCTTGAAACCAAAGTTGCTGGTGCTGTCAGCCCTCGCATGCCCTCACGTGCCCTCCCACCCTCACGTGCCCTCCCACCCTCACGTGCCCTCCCACCCTCACGTGCCCTCACCCTCACGTGCCCTCCACCCTCACGTGCCCTCCCACCCTCACGTGCCCTCCCACCCTCACGTGCCCTCCCACCCTCACGTGCCCTCCCACCCTCACGTGCCCTCCCACCCTCACGTGCCCTCCCACCCTCACGTGCCCTCCCACCCTCACGTGCCCTCCCACCCTCACGTGCCCTCCCACCCTCACGTGCCCTCCCACCCTCACGTGCCCTCCCACCCTCACGTGCCCTCCCACCCTCACGTGCCCTCCCACCCTCACGTGCCCTCCCACCCTCACGTGCCCTCCCACCCTCACGTGCCCTCCCACCCTCACGTGCCCTCCCACCCTCACGTGCCCTCCCACCCTCACGTGCCCTCCCACCCTCACGTGCCCTCCCACCCTCACGTGCCCTCCCACCCTCACATGACCTCTTCCCCTCATATGCCCCTCCTCACTGCCACGTGTCACTCTCCCTCCACCACACGTGCAGAGATAGGGTCAGCAGGCAACAACATATCAAAGAAGGAGATAGGCCGAGCGACCAAGTTTATAGTGAAGCAGCTAGAAGCGGATATGGGGGCGGTGGACATGGGAGCGGTCAATGCAGGCGACTTCATGGTGAGTCGGCTCTTCCCCATGATGAGTGAGTGGGGGCCCCCTGGGAGGGACCTCACATACGTGAAGCGGATTCGGGGGCCGTGGACATGGGAGCGGTCAATGCAGGCGATTTCATGGTGGGTAGTAGGCGGTTTTAGTATAAGCAAGTGCGGTTTCAGTATAAGCAGGTGCGGTTTCAGTATAAGCAGGTGCGGTTTCAGTGTAAGCTGGTGCGTCGACTCAAAAACTCTTTCTCCTCTACCCCCCCTGCGTCACCACCACTCACCCCTCACTTCCCTCACCCGCTTCTCCTCCCCCCTGCTTCTCCTCTCTTCCCTCCTTTTCCTCCCCCTGTCCCCCCCCTGCAGCGGCGCTTCTGTTCGCATCTGGGCATGAAGGGAGCGCCAGTGCAGGCGGCAATAGGGGTGGTGCAGAGCACAGAGCAGATCGACATGCCCTTGTCCCTCAGTGTCACCACCACTCACCCTCACTCCTCTCACCCCCCACGCCCCCTTTCTCCACCCCACCCCCCCGTTCCCCCTGCAGCGGCGCTTCTGCTCGCATCTGGGCATGAAGGGGGCGCCAGTGCAGGCAGCAATAGAGGTGGTGCAGAACACAGAGCAGATTGACATCCGCACCAGCCGAGCGCCCATCTCCAAGGCCGCTGCCGCCATCTACATGGTCACTCAGCTCTGCAGCAACCCCGTGCCCACCAAAGGTAGTGTATGGATTATTGTGCCATGGTTGTGTCTGGTGCTGGTGGTGTATGCGCACGAGCAGAGCGCCCATTTCCAAGGCTGCTGCTGCCATCTACATGGTCACTCAGCTCTGCAGCAACCCCGTGCCCACCAAAGGTGAGCGGCATGCGAGACACCTGCTGTTGCGAGGTGCATGCCAGTGTCGCATGCAAGGTGCACGTGCGTGCATTGGAGTCTCGTTCTTTTCAAGGTGCACGGTGCAATGCCTTTGCCTCGTCCCCTTCCCTCTTCCTGTTGGGTTCTCTCGTCCCTCCGTTCCTGCTCCTCGCCTCTCCCACCTCCCATGTCCCCCTGGCCACAGACATGTTGCATTGCAGGTAACAGGGATGGCAGAGAGTGGCACCATGTGCACCAGCTATGAGGGCCTTTCCGTTTCTCTCCCCTCTCCTCCTCAAATGCTTCTCTTCCTCTTGCCTTTCCACTCCCCCTTGCCGCCAGACATATCACACGCAAGGGCACGGCTGAGGGGACTTGTGAGTCGACTCAAAAGTCACTTTCCACTCCCCCTTGCCGCCAGACATATCGCGCGCAAGGGCGTGGCTGAGGGGACTTTTGAGTCGACTCAAAAGTCACTTTCCACCCCCCCCTTGCCGCCAGACATATCACACGCAAGGGCATGGCTGAGGGTACCATCCGCAACACCTACAAGCACCTGCTCCCCTTCAACCTGCCATTTCCCATCCTAATTCTCCATTCCCTACCTGCCTGTCATTCGCCTTTCGCTTCAATCCCCCTACCTGCAGATATATCGAGGGCAACGGGAGTGGCAGAGGGCACCATCCGCAAACACGTACAAGGACCTGCTGCCCTCCCTTCCCCCTCCACGTCTCCTCTTCCTCCTGCACCTGTTCATCTCCTCTCCCCTTGCATTCCCCCTCCCCCCCTTTCTGCAGACATATCGAGGGCAACGGGAGTGGCAGAGGGCACCATCCGCAACACGTACAAGGACCTGCTGCCCTTTGCCTCGCGCCTGCTGCCCGAGTCATACGCCAAACCAGAGGACATTGCCAAGCTCTCCCCCTCGTAGCCCACTTGCCTTGCTGCCACTCACAGTCGTCTTCTCTGCATGTTCTGGGTGACGTGACGGCACATGTGAGAGTTGCAAAAGCGACTTCAGTAGTGCTCCCTGACGGGACAACCCTTCATCGCAGCGGTTTCTGACTGAGGCGCTGCAAAAGAAAACACCCAGCTTCATTTTGGGGAGAGTTTATTCTTCAGGTTGTGCTTGCTGTGATTGAGAAGAGAGCGTGTTGTACACTGTACACTGTGATTGAGAAAGCATTGTACAATATATAAACCGAGGCAGCCATGTGGGCGAGCTATCTTCTCCCTTTGTTCTTTACCCATTCCATCTCGCCGGCACAGATGTTTGTATCGTTACAGTGTGCAGTGCGCAAGCCGTGTCTGAAGCGCTGTATATCCTGAGAGAACGTGGAGGCAACAGAGCCAAAGAACACGGTAGCCTGCACACACACCAGCTTCTCTAGCACCGATGCTGCAATGCCGATGTTCCTGCTGTCGCTCACAATGGAAGCTAATGGTGTAACCCAATCATCGAACTGATTTTGACCTTCAAACTCTGGGTTATTGCTGGTGTTGGTGCTGCTGCACATGCTGCTGGTGATGGTGACTGTGGCACCGTTAGTGGCATTAGTGTATGTGACGATAACGGGGGGTTTATCCAGGGTGCCGGTGAGGGGTGGAAGGCGGTGGAAGGTGATGCTGGTGGGAGTGATGCGAGCTATATTGCGGGTGAGCTCCTGCAGCTGCCAGGGTGTGAGGGGGTGGGAAGTGGGCAGAGAAGGAACTTCTGATGGCTCTATGGGAGAGCCATGCATGCTTCAGGGCTCTGATCCGCAATGAAATGGCACTGCGAGGGTAACCAGACCAGAGGGAAAAGCAGAAACGACTTCACAGCAGGATCTTGCTCACAAGCTCACCTGCTTGCTCGTGGCTTTCTACAATGCTCACAAGCTCACCTGCTTGCTCGTGGCTTTCTACAATGCTCACAAACTCACCTGCTTGCTCAAGGCTTTCTACAATGCTCACAAACTCACCTGCTTGCTCGTGGCTTTCTACAATGCTCACAGCTCACCTTCTTGAGCCTGGGATATGCCACAGTCTCCCCTCCTGCATCCCACACTAATCACTGTACAGAGAGCATGGCACTGCCTCTATCACCTTTTCACTCTGCCATGCATGCACGCACGCATGCTCACCTCCTTGAGCTTGGCGTTGGTGGCAAGGAACAGCTCTTGAATGCCGCTCTCCCTCACCCTCTCCACCACCCAATGCGCCACCTGGGACGCACCAGAGCCAGTAACCATGTTACCACGTGTTATTACGAAGCAGGTTCAACAAGAGATATCTAGCAACGCGGCACCACAGCTCCCTGCAGGACGTGGTTTGGAACTACGCTTGCTTCAGTTCAGACTGTGTTGAGCCTCCTTAAGAAAAAAAGAGGGAGAACCTCTCCTGAAGGCAATAAACCAACCCAAACTGTGCATGTCACCTGATGCACGGGGTAGAAGCAAGCATGTTTGGGCCCGCGCCAGAAGCACCAGGGCTTGAAGTCGCCCCGCCGCCAGTGTAGTGCCAGGAACGGCCGCCCCCCCAAACAGCCGCCCCACCAGCAGCTCAGCGCTCTCCAGCAGCGCGGGGCGCGGGCGCAGGAGGAGCGGCGAGGGGCAGGCGGCGGAGCGGCGGAAAGGCAGGTCGAGAAAGGGCTGCTGCTGTGCTGTGATGGTGGTGGTGGTTCCATCAGCAGGGGACTGCTGAGGCGTTTCTCCATCCATGTTTTCCTCCACTTGTGCAGGAGGCTCATGTGTGGCGCCCCCCTGTTAAAGTCCCTTCATGTGCGTGAGAGACGTGCAGGTTGAGCAGGTCGCCCACCACAAGCACGGGGGAGGGTTGCTGCCCCAGGCACGCAGCACCTGGCGGGTCAGTGCGGGATTTAAGGGGAGGGGAAAATGCGGATGGAAGATGGGAGACGTGCAGGTTTGAGTGGGGCCCCACCACAAGCACAGGCGCAGGGTTGCTGCCCCAGGCATGCAGTACCTGGTACGAAGGTGAAGAGAGGAGGAATGCGAGTGAGTATACGAAGCAGACACATGTGGGAAAGCAAGTGAGTGCGAGGCACTGACCTGCTGTGGAGAGGCGAGCATGGGCAGGCATGGCAGCGTGGGTGGTGGTGTTGGGAGGCAAATGCACGAGAGGAGAGCGGAAGAGCGAGTGGGAGACTGGCACTCGTGTGTCGAATACAACCCCTGGCGTGCCTGCTGCCATCCCACTCCCACCATCGCTTGCCATCCCACCAGCAGCACCATTATCACCATCATCACCATTATCACCATCATCACCAGCTGCATCACCATCACCAACAGCAGCGCCATCAGCAGCAGCAGCGTCATCATTCCCACCGCTCCCGCTCCCATCATCTCGCCTCATCTCGTCAAGACCAGGGCAGTGCAACAGAATGTTATCAACCTGATCCGCACATGCCCCAGGGGGGCCGTGCCAACACACCACCTGAGACACCTGAACAGGCCCGCCTGAATTTTCTCCTGAACTCAGCAGTGGTGAAGACGGTGGGGCCGATGCACGATCTGAGATAAGCGAGGTCGAGCACTAAGTGCAGGTCGTAGTTGAGGATGGTTTCAGAGCGGTGGAAAGGGATTAAGAGGGTGCGGTTGAGCAGGCCTGCAAGCAGCATGTGGTTGCGCAGGCAGAGCAGACGGTTGGTGATCTGCGTGTGTGAGGATGTGAGGGAGAGATAAACACAGATAGGGACGGGATGAGTGTGGCTCACATAAACGTGCAAACCGAACAACGGGTTCTTACCTCTCTCTCACACCTCGCATATCTCTCAGAATGGTCAAAGATCGCGCATTTCTGACCTGCCCTCGCACGCAGTGGGCCAGGAGGAACCGGTTGCTTGCAGGCGTCCACCTCACAGTGCCACGTGTCAGCGCGCCCTGCTCCCACGTGGCATTGAAGAGCGCACCTGACCCCTCGGCGCATTCCTGCAGCAACGGGTGGCTGCGGGGAGGGTGTGAGGGGAAGCGAGACGGCCAGGACGGGGCGAGAGACGGATTGACCGAGGGACTGAAGGGTGTAGACGGGATCGAGGTTGGGGGAAGAGATGCGGAACACGAGGGAGCGGAGGAAACGAGGGAAGCGGTTGGTGAAAGGAGAAAGACGAAAGGAGAAAGGAGCAAAAAGGAGAAAGACGAAAGGAGCCAGGCGTGGGAGAGGCGGGAGGAGAAAGACGCACGTGTTGAAAGCTGATTGGGTGCGCCGCAGAATGCACGCCACGACGGCCAATAGGAGCAACGGAAACGCCCGTCCAGTTCATGGCAAGTGTCCGACGAACCAGGGGTAACACCTGGTTACCAGCGACATTGGCCAAATGGCGAGAAAACTGCGAATAAGGAATGCTGAGACGGCTTCATGAGAAAGAATGAACTCGCCGATTGGGAGACTGCAGTGAATCAAGGTGAATCAGGGTTACGTGGGTGGTAATCATTAATTTCAACAGCACACCGAGCATCTCTACTGGGGTGTCTCGTTATCAACGCTAATGCGTCCAACCTGATCTGGTGAGCCCGTGGTATATAAATAGAAATCCATGCTATTGTGGTGGAGGGATGAAAAAACAACCGGAATCCGTTGCACAACTGTCCTCGCAGCGCACCTGTTAGTATCAATACTATCTATCCAGAACGATCCTAGCCCACGCTTCCTGTCGTGCGAAGCCCAGATGCGTTGGCTTGCGAAAATAATTAGTCCCTCACCTCACCATGCTGGTGGCGCTGGTGGAACTGTAGATACTGGGAGATGGATCAGGCAGGTTGGATCTAAGCATGACAGTGTTTCGGGGTTGAATTGCGGTGCAAACACGAAGAGCCAGGGTCCAATCTGGTCGTTTTTTCACAAATCCTTCGCTTCCAAATTGCTGTGAGTGGAATCCTGTTACACCATCGAAGTTTCGCCACTGCCGAAATCCATGCGAGCTTCAGGGCGACTAGCTGACGAACGTCGTCGTTCCCTCATCTTGCCCAGCCCACTTCTCATCGTACCCCTGCGACCTGTTTTAGCAGCAACTTCACACCAGAACAGGATTCATGGGCTCAGCTCAGGCTCCTAGGTACTCTGAGAATTGTCCCCCATGGAAAAAATCATCATTCGCGACTTGACTTGCAGACCTAATTTTCAAATTTTCTTTTCGCTCCTGTCGCCTAAGCAGGAGCGCGCCTTGCATCCGCTTCGCCTCGCGTGTAGCTGCAGCGTCAATCTCTCATCTGCCGACGGGCTGTCTCACGCTGATGTAGCTCTGCGATGCACTTTCCACGGAATGCCGTTTGAATTCATCTTCCCTCTCCACGACGATTTCACTGTACCGCTCATCCCTTTGGCTCGGCGCGCCTGTAGCATTAGACCCAGACACAGGCACGCCTGCCGAACCAATCGTGGTTGCCGAACCACCTGTGGTGGTTGAACCAAACGTGCCTGCCGAACCGCCAATGCCTGCCGAACCAGCCTCGCCAGCCGAACCAACGGAGAACGCTGAGAAGAGATCCCCAACCACGTTCTCGTCTTCCTCCTCCACCGTGTGAACCGTCAGCATCGCATCCAGCCGCCTCACCACGTCTTTCATTTCCGGCCGTCGGATCCCGGGCATCTTGATGCAATCAAGGGCCAGATCTGCGAGTTCGACGACGGCATCCTCTGAGGCGTCCATCCGACGGTCCTTGAGCTCCTCGAGCGAGTAGCTCTGCACCAGCGTGGTCGCCTGCGCGAAAGAAACACACATTTCGCGAAATGGGAACCGAAGGGGTTACGCATGTGCATTGTGCACCGCACACTGAAGCGCAAGACACGATCCAAAGTCATCAGGACAAACCACGGAAACAGAAATAAGCACTAACGCTGCGGGTGCGTTGCGCAATGCGGTGCACACTGAGTATCTCCAGTACGCACCCATTTGCCAATGTGCGTGCCGCCCTCCACAGTGACGCGGCGCCCGCTGAGCATTTCCAGCAGCACGACGCCGAAGCTGTAGACGTCGCTTTTGGTGGTAACCAGCTCCGTGCGATTGTAGTCCGGGTCCACATACCCCGGCGTGCCCGCCACCTTGGTCGCCCTCCCCTCGCCCTCCCCAAACTTGAGCTTCCTCAGCAGCCCAAAGTCCGCTACCTTGGCCTGAGCGGGTGGGAGAGGGGGAAGGGGGAAGTGAAGAGTAGCAAGCATGAGGCAATTCTGAGGTGGTTACAAACAAAAACGACCCCGCCCTCTCCAAACTTGAGCTTCCTCAGCAGCCTAAAGTCTGCTACCTTGGCCTGAGCGGGTGGGAGAGGGGGGGAAGTAGCAGGCATGAGGCTAATATGAGGTGGTTAAAAAAGGCGCCTTTGCCCTCTCAGCTTGAGCTTTCTCAGCAACAATAAGTCTGCTTATATTGGCCTGAGCGAGTGAGGATGGGGAAGGTGGCATGCGTGTGTTCTGAGTGCCTCAAAGAATGCACTGAGGTGTTGGCAAGGCACGGCTGCGCCGGACTCACAGTGAGGTGTGGGCACGGCACCGCTCGGCTTGGAGGCTAGAGGCTAGAGGCTCACAATGAAGTGCGGGAAAAACAAGGCTAGAGGTCAGCAGCTCACTGTGAGGTGGTGGCAAGGCAAGGCAAGGAAGGCTCAGAGGCTCACAGTAAGGTTATCCCCGACGAGGATGTTGGCGGGCTTGATGTCGCGGTGAATGATGGGATTCTCAAAGCCGTGCAGATATGCCAACCCCTCCGCTGCCCCCACCGCCAGCTTCAACCGCTGCCTCAGCGTCAGCGGCTCTGAGGAGAGAGGGTGGGGGGGAGGGGGGAGAAAGGGGACAGAGAGAGGGTTGGGGGGGGGGGGGGGAGAAAGGGGACAGAGAGAGGGTGGGAGGAGGGGGAAGAAAGGGGACAGAGAGAGGGTGGGTGGACCATAGCAGAGCCTGGTTCAGATGCTGTTGAGGTGGAAGGACCGTAGGTGGCACCATGAGCGTCAGAGACTCGCTCTGCGTCTTGAAGAGGTGGAAGGAGAGGTCCCCGTGCTCGCACATGCTCCCCGTGAAAACGGGGAGCCTGTCCGATTGATTCACGGACTCACTCGTGCACCAGGACCTGCTCCTGCTTGCGCCTTGAGACGTCTCAAACCTCGAGTCGGGCACCGTAAGGGTCACACACACTCACTATAACACAGCTCAGCACACACTCACTCTGCGTCTTGAAGAGGTGGAAGGAGAGGTCCCCATGCTCGACAAACTCATACACGAGGATCTGCTCCTGCTTGCCGCTCTCCATGTCCATGTCGTGGCAGAAGCCCAGTAGCCTCACCAGGTTGGCGTGATGCAGACTCGCCATCGCCCGCACCTGGGGAGGAAGTGAAGGGCACAAGCACGTGGGTTAAGGCACAAGCACGTGGGTTAAGGAACAAGCATGAAAGGATGAGAGGATCTGCTCCTGCTTGCCACTCTTCATATCCATGTTGTGACAAAAGCCCAGCAGCCGCACCAGGTTGGCGTGCATGATGCAGACTCGCCATGGGGGAAACTGATGGGGGAAACTGATGGGGGAAGCTGATGGGAGAGACTGATGGAGAAACTGATGGGGGAAACTGATGGGGAAAACTGATGGGGGAAACTGATGGGGGAAACTGATGGGGGAAGCTGATGGGAGAAGCTGATGGGAGAAACTGATGGGGGAAACTGATGGGGGAAACTGATGGGAGAAGCTGATGGGAGAAACTGATGGGGGAAACTGGGGGGGGAACTGATGGGGGAAACTGATGGGGGAAACTGATGGGGGAAGCTGATGGGAGAAACTGATGGGAGAAACTGATGGGGGAAACTGATGGGGGAACTGATGGGGGAAACTGATGGGAGAAACTGATGGGAGAAACTGACATGAGGATGATGCGCTTGACAGCCCAGAGCTGCCCCGTGGCAGGGTTGACCCCCTTGTACACGACCGCAAAGCCCCTTTCGCCCAACACGTTCTAATCCGCCCAGTGCTGCTGGGGGTGACACCCTTGTACACCACGCAAACTCCATACCCGCTACAGGCTTCCTCACCTCCGTTTCAAAGTCGTTGGACATGAGCGTGATTCTCTTGACAGCCCAGGGCTGCCCCGTGGCGGGGTTGACGCCCTTGTACACGATGGCGAAGCCCCCCTCGCCCAGCACATTCTCCTCTGCCCAGTCGTTGGTGGCCTTCCTCATTGTTGCGATGGAGAACTGCTGACACACGTCCAGGTCGCTCCAGCGCTCTGAAGGGAGGGATAGAGGGGGAGGTTGGGAAGGGAAGAGAAGAGGGAGGGTGAGGAGAGGGAGTGGGCAGGGATGAAGAGTGGTATGGACGCAGTCTATTCATTGCTCTCAGTTGCATTCTACCTTGTACGATACGAGGTAGCAAACGGGCGATGCATTGTGAGGGGCATGTGAGATTCTCAAGAACCTCGAATAAGGGAACGGAAGGGCAGTGTGGCGCGGAGGAACTTACTCCTCCGCTCGCTCGGGGCGCAGCAAGACGCAGAACGTGGAGTGGAGGAGCTTACTCTTCTTTTTGGGGCGCAGCAGCAGGCAGAGCACAGACGCCAGGAGCGCGATGCCCAGCAGGCAACTGAGACCCACGATGGCTATCATGGGGATAGAGGACGAGGTTGCTGTGGGGCACGGGAGGGTGAGGGCACCAAGGTGAGGACATGAGGGGTGAGGGAGTGTGAAGGACGTGAGTGGGTTGAGGAGCCTCAAGGCAAGCAAAGCAGAACGATTCCAGGTGGGAGATGAGACTCGCAATGACTGCTATGGGGCAGGGGAGGGTGAGGTCACGAGGGCAAGGGAGTGTGAAGGAGCCTGAAGACAAGCAGAGCACAACTTGGGCAGGGGGAGTGTGGAGGCTGGTACTGTGCTTCTGTTGACGTTTGGCATGCACTGAAGGAGCCTCAAGGCAAGCAGAGCATAGCTTGGGCATGGCACGCAGCTGACCTGAGAAGGATGCTTCAAGAAGTGACTTCAGTATTGGCCACGCAAAGCACTGAGAGGGATGCACCCGACGGCTGCTGTTGAGGCTGCTGCCTCACACAGACACCACACTCGCCAGCAGACCCGGAATTCGCATTTGAGGCGCCTCCGAGGCAGGAGGCTCACTCTCAGTTGCAAAGGCACACTCTTGAGGTGCCTCAAAAGAGGCAGGAAAACTCACTCTCATTGGCGAAGGCACAGGTGGAGCCGTTGTCAACGGTGATAGTGACGTAGGACTCCTCACACAAGCACCTCACACAAGCACCAGAACTCACCTGAACTGTCCAGAATCCAGTGGACCTTGCATTGCCTTTTGGGCTGATTACTCACTCTCTGTGGCAAAGGCACAGGTGGAGCCGTTGACAACCGTAACAGTGACGTAGAGCACGCCTCACACAAGCACCTCAACTCGCCTGAACTGTCCAGTGGGCCCTGAATTGCCTTTTGACCTTTTCTTTTCTCTGGTTGCTTTGAGCTGATTACTCACTCTCAGTGGGGAAGGCACATGTGGAGCCGTTGTCAACAGTGACAGTGACGTAGGGCGCCTCACACCTGCACTTGAACGCCCCCCCACTCGTCCCCTGCTCGGGCGGCACACACGCCCCCCTCCCATTGCACGGCCCCAGGTCTGTCACACTGCAGAACGCCGCGCACTCTCCCTCTGCACCCTCTGCACCTCCGTCACAGCGCACTTAACCTGCCAGTTCACCGACAGACAATTGCCCTTATAGCTCGCCTGCACAGTCGCATACGCCGCAACGCACTGCACAGCCTCTAGAGCCGAGTCAGATTCGCTGCGCTTGCTACCCCCGGCACTATCCCCCAAACTATTGAGATCAGACATGTTGATTCGGGTGATGCGGGGGGTGGGGCACGCCTTAAAGCCCCCCGCGTACACGATGGGGTCGCCGTAAAAGTAGTTGTGGGCGAGGTTGATGACGGCTGGCTTGGTTAGCCGCTGGTGGGCTTGGGGACCATGCCGACAAAGTCCATGTTGATGGGGCCGTAGAACGAGTTGTTGCTCATGTCGCTGCGGGGGAGAAGGGGGTTGGGGAAGGAGGGGGGGAGGGACAGTGGAATGAGGGAATAGGGTTGCTCAACCTTGGGGACCATGCCCACAAAGTCCATGTGGATCGGGCCGTAGAAACGAGTTGTTGCTCATGTCGCTGT